GACAGAGTAGCACAGAATAGCTAGGAAATACTGGGGATTCATTGAGCATTCACTGTGTTCAGTAACATGAATTTCTGCAGCTTTAAAAGCATGATTCCTTTTGTTCAGAAGAAATTTTAAAAACAGCTGACACATGTTTTTCTCGGCTAAAAACTTTCCTCCGTTAACACTGGTTTCTTCATTATAGAGTAAAACAGTCAGTCCTCTGTCCTTTCAAACAACGCATTCATGGCATACATGGAAAGTTCAATGGGGACAGATCTTTGTTTTGGCCTTCTGTCACCTAACTCTTTTAGAGCTGGAATGCTTGCAGGGTTAGGCACCGCAAAGATGACAGGTAGCAGAGCGCAGTTGGTCTGGGAGAACTGAGCTTGGTATTTTTGTGTGTGCTTGCATTGGGATTTCATTTGGCCCATCTTGAGATGACATACAGCACAGTCAGGACACTGGCACTCCTGCTGCTCCTCTAATGTTTCCTTCACAACAGGAAAGTAGTGAGTTTCTCTATCTTTTCTGTGTGTTTCTTTCTCCATAGCCGAGCCAGTGTTCATTCTGATGATCCTCTGGTTTTACAGGAGTTACCAATTTTGTGTTTTGTTTTGTTCTTTGAATGAATGCTTTGTTAAGCAGCTGCCGTGTGTTCTTGCATTTGATGTACCTTGCAGGCTGTTTACTGGCAGCAGGTGGTAGAGCCAGCCCTGCAGTGTCAGTATGAGCTGTAGAGTGATGATTACCACCAACTTGAGTGCAGATTGAGCAATATCTTCCAACAGAGTCCCATCCACAGTATTTCCAGGACACTAAGCCAGCATTCCCTCAGAACACTGCCAATCACCCCAGTCGCCACCCGTTGCCAATCGTAGCTGCATGGAGATGGGTGTGCCTTGAGGTGGTAATCTGAGGGAAATGCCCCAGTTCTTTTTTCTTTCCGTCTACCCTTCACACAGCCAGCAGGTCTTGCTTCTGATTATCATTGCCACTGATTTCTTAGGCCTGCTGGTTGCTAAAGACACTTCATATAGGATTTTCAGGGCCTAGAATAGCAATCACTTCTTGCACATTCATTTTCAGTGGTACTTACAAAAGGAAAATTATTTTGCTGTAGAAAGGAAGAGACCATGAAAGACTGAAAAGTTCCATTTCTGCCTCAAATCAAAACCCTGGCCTGCTTCAGTTGTGCTCCACTGCCTCAGGACAGCAGCAACAGCTTCGTTTGCCCTTCTTCCTCTGAGGGTGAGCATGGATGTGCTTACAGATGCAGGTTTAGGTCTACACACTAGGAAGAAGTATATAGTCCTTAGGAGCAGGTGGGAAAGGCCTACATGTTTTTCTTTTCCTTGAAAAAGGTGAAAAAGCTTTAAGAAATGGATTGTAACTCTCAACCTTAAATCTTTTAAAATTGCTTCCTACTGAGAGTTTAATAGTTTTTTAAATGTAAGCTCAGGAAAATACTTACTTTTCAAGCTTGAATATCCTTCCGCTTTCTCAGATCACTGAAAGTGTATTATTCTTTTCAGTCCACTGAATTACAGGGATCACTCATGTTAAAAGTTAATGCAGTTTCCAGTGTCAGAAGATGTAAGGTTTTCTGGTTTTGGTTCGTATCCCTTCTCACTTCTTTTACTGTGTGATATTAGCTGATATTTTTTTTCAGATTCATATGGCTCAAAAGTATTCAGGTTTCCCAAGTGTAAAAGGTAATTAGATCAAGGAATGATCTTTAAAAGCCATCATAGACCCAATTCTGGTGCTGTTATTTACACAGATAAGGGCTGTGTAACTACAGTGGGAGGATCAGCCACAAGCCTCAAACAGATGAAGCTCATACATTTAAATCAAAAAGAACATGGGTTTTGTTTCTTTGATCTTGGAATTTTTACATTTTATTGCTGTGTGATCAAAACACTGGAACAGAATTGCTCATTTCTTTCTTGCTGCCTTTTTATGGCTACAAGTCCCAAATCAAGTATCTTGCTCTCATTATCAGCTACCAACCTACCTGCTGGCTGACTTTGGTGTCTCCCACTGAATGCAATGAAAGTGAGTCCAAGCTAGCAGTGCAGGCTGGGATACAGGGGTAGGTCCCATTTGCAGAGAAGAGACCTCTGTAGTTCAAGGTTATTTTTAAAATCTAGGTGGCTCTGCTTACATCCTCCTGTGCACGTTCAGAGATTAGCGTAGCTAGCCCAAGCTTCACAACTCTGAAAACCAGAACCGTTTTGACTGTCACTGGAAGAGCTGCCTGTGTTATTTAGATCAGTTGCCTCCAAGCTCTGAGATGTTTTGTGAAACCAACCAACCCAGTGGTGACTGGGAATGTTCCTGTGCTAATACCCCTTCCATCTGAGGTTTCATTATGATGTCAGGTACCTCATGAGAAATGCTGGGAGACTGGTGGAGCTCCACTGGTCCAAAAGCTTAGGAACCACTTCCTGGGGTGCTGAGAAACAGATGTGGGTGCCTGTCTACAGAAAGGCTGACGTCTGTATCATTCTCCATGTTTTTAATAAATTAATGTAGAGCTGCTGGGTAAATAGATCATAAAAATGAAATTGCAGTTTTACTGTCATAGGGTTTTAACACTGGTGCTATGTGGCATGTTGGGTGGGTTTCTCACTGCACTCCTTCCATGTAGGGAAAAGCTTTCTTTATGTTTGTCAGAAAGATTTATAAATTTTAAAATGTGCCTTTCCGTCACTCCAGGCACATGTGTACTAAAGATATTAACAAATCCTGTCAAAGAAATAAGCCACTTGCCCATCTGGCTACTCAGGAGTTAACAAAAAATTAACTTTAATCACTTCTTTTATACTTTCTGGAGCTTGAGAACAGGGGGATTCCTTATTGCTTATCCTAAGTATGTTGAGCTTTGCTAGATCAGGGCAGAACGAGGTTGCAGAGTTGGAGATTTGAGCCACTGAGGCAGTCGTTGGTGTTCAAGCCAGACGTCTAGTTGTTTGCTTCATAATGCAAGGTGCCTTGTGGAGAAAGGGACATTTCCTGGTGCCAGATATGGCCAAATTCAGCGGAAGCTTGTATTGCTGACTGGCAACAGCTGTGGCCTTGTGTGACCTGTGAGGAGCTGATCTCTGGAATGTTTACACCAAGAGAGATATGGACTGCTATGTGTTCTGTAGGAGCTTTTGCTCTTTGGCATCCTGGTGCAGACCTATGTAGAGAGCACCTGTGTTCCGTCATTACGCAGTGGTCAAAGCATGAACCACTGCAACAAGCTACTAGCCTGAAGTGTTAAGTGAGATGTGCTTCAGACCAGGGGAGTGTGGGCTGCCCAGTGAGTATGTTTGGGCTCTGGTAGCCTGTCTGACCAGGTGAGCCTGCTTCCCTTCTACAGGAACAGGAATGCTCCTCCATTCTCTGCACTTTTCCCCTAATCTGCATGTTTACATCTGGTTCAAGTAATGGGAGCTCCTCGGCAGTAAGTCACAAGCAGAGGATTAGCAGAGGAGGTGAAGTGGAACGCTGACTGCATCCTCATCCAGAGACTGAGAAGCTTATGTCTTCTCTTGCTTGGTCTCTGCCACTAGCCCTGCTGACAAGTGAAGAGATGGATAGGAAAGAGAACGTTATCTGCTACCTGAGGGTAGCAGAGGAGAAGTTATCTGCTACCTGAGGGTAGCAGAGGAGAACCCAGCTTCCTGTTTCCACGTTGGTAGTAGCATTCACAGGATGTGTGAAGTGTTCAGCAGTTGCTTTGTCAGTCTCTTACCTAAGCACTGCATTCTTTCTTATCTTTCAGCTAGGAGATGAAGGTAATATAAGATTAATATCCTACTGGGCAAAAAAACGTTTGTTTTAATCAAATCTGAGACAGCAGTAGTCTGATGCAGGAGACTGATGTTAAAGAATTGACTTGTCCCTCACCGGTATCAAAGGAGAGGCCACACAAAATCAGTGACTTAGGTTCCACCACTGCAAAAAATGGGCAAAACTCCCTAAAAGTGTCTGAAATTACCATTTAATGTAGTCACAGACAAGCAGGTGAAAATGGTATGTGGGGCCTCAACGGCATACCCTGTAACCTGTGTTTAAAATGAGGACGAATCAGGGAATTAAGCTGCACTTGGAAGTTACTACAGAAGCAGACTGCCACTGCCCTGCAGAGGTGAGACGTTTGTGCTTTTCAAGATAAGGTTTCTTCCTTTTGTAGTAATGGGGTACATCCGTAGGACTGCTGCTTATTTCCCCTGAATCCCCGTGGCTTGGATGTGAGAGTCGAGCCCAACCCTTTATTTGTAATGGAACTGCTAGCACCTCGTGCTGGAGGGGGAGGGCAAGGTTGAGCCTTCCTATTCTCGTGCAGCTGTACCAGATCCATCATAGCTTCCAAAACACAGGCAGTGGCTGTGAAGTGCATTCTCTTTTTTGAAGACCACGGCCTGGTAGTACTCTCCTCTCAACAGGAAAATCCAGAGCACGGTAAGTATTGATGCTAAGGTGTCTGGCCAGTGGAGATCCACTGCAACGTAGTTCCCTCCGACTGTCCCAGCCACCGGTGTGTTCTGCTAATTACACCATAGATTTCCCTATTGATGAACAGAACTGTGTTAACGCAGAAGCAGGGATGTTGCCCTCGCTGCCGCTGTTGTACACGGAGCCGGGCAGATGCTGGCCGTTAGTTACACAAACATTAGTATTAACGATTGGCCATTTGGAATCGGTGACAAACTGCCGCCCGCCGGAATCCTGAGCCTGAAACCAATCAGGAAGTTAATGAGGAGAGAAATTACCACTGCAGCTTCCCCTTAATTATATTCACGGCAGGCAGGAAGGGAGTGCTGGAGGTGGATCTCAACTCATCTAAGGTTAGGAAGGTCAGAGACCCTTTTACTCGGTTTTGTATCTACTGCAAATTGCAACGTTGCAGCCGTTCCAAGCGCTGCCTTCTTTCTGAGTTCTCCGATGTCGGCCCGGGGCAGCGCTCCGGGCCCCGGGGTGCAGCGGCGCGGGGCTCAGGCTCTGTGTTCTCTCCCCTCACGCAGTGTTTTCGCCGCCCAGCAGCCAGGACTCGGGCCTGGGGTGCCTGTCCAGCAGCGAGAGCACCAAGGGAGACCTGGAGTGCGAGCCCCACCAAGAGCCCGGCGCTTTCGCGGTGAGCCCGGTCCTCGAGGGCGAGTAGGCGCGGCGCCGGGCGGCTGCTGCGCGGCGTTCACTGTTGCCTTGTTCTGTTGGGGGTTGCGGG